ACGCTAATACACCCCCGCAGTCGAAACGGGAAAGGAGAGGACGTGGAGACTGGAGACAAACTGTTGGAACAGTTGAGTAGGGAGTCCTTTCGTGAAGATATCGGCAAACTGGTAGGCGGATGGGACATGAAGGACTCGAACGTGCCCCAAAGCAACTTTGTCTCGGACAAAATGGATATCGATCTCCACATGTTTCGTACGAGAGTGTTGAATAGGATTGCTCGATAGGTAGACGGCACTGACGTTGTCACAATAGACAATCGTGGCTTTCGAAAGTGGGCAGAGCAACTCAGAAAGTAGGTTGCGTAACCAAGTCGTTTCGGCGACGGCATTTGCGACAGCTCGGTATTCGGCCTCCGCAATCGATCGAGAGGTAGTGACCTGTCGTTTGGATGACCAAGAAATGAGGTTGTTGCCGAGGAAAACACAATATCCCGATGTCGAACGACGAGTGTCAGGGCATCCACCCCAATCGGCGTCGGAGTAAGCGATAAGGGAGAGGTCCGGATTGGGGGAGAGCTGAAGGCCGTGATCGAGAGTCCCACGAATGTAGCGAAGAATACGCTTAAGAGCAGCCATATGAGGTTCCCTCGGATCATGCATGAATAGACATATTTGTTGCACAGCATAGCAGATGTCAGGACGAGTAAACGTGAGGTATTGCAGTGCACCGGCAAGGCTGCGATAAAGAGTAGGGTCAGCAACGGGGGGTCCAGTGGTCGATGACAACTTGCTCTTTGTGTCAGCCGGCGTAAGACAAGGGTTGCATGAAGCCATGTGTGCACGCTCTGGGATCTCGTCGGCGTACTTGCGTTGAGAGAGAAATAGCCCATTCGACGAGCGAGTGACTGAGATGCCGAGAAAGTAGTGAAGATCGCCAAGATCCTTCATTGCGAACTCTTGATTAAGTGCAGCGATGATGGAGCGGAGCAATTCAGGTGTGGAGGCCGTAAGTACAATGTCATCGACATACAACAGAAGGTAGGCGCATGAACTGTTGCGACAGTCGCGTGAACTGCTGCGACAGTCGCGTGAACTGTTGCGACAGTACACAAAGAGTGAAGTGTCGGACTTGCATTCTCTGAACCCCATGGTAGTAATGTGAGATGCAAAACGCTTGTACCAAGCACGTGGTGCCTGCTTGAGACCGTAGAGTGCTTTGTTGAGACAACACACGTGAGTGGGGCGAGATGGATCGACGAATCCGGGAGGTTGCTCGCAGTAGACAATTTCAGAGAGATTGCCATGTAGGAAGGCATTTTTCACGTCAAGCTGGTGGATTGGCCATGATCGCGAGAGAGCAATACTGAGAACTGTTCGAACAGTGGCTGGTTTGACAACTGGGCTGAAAGTCTCGTCAAAGTCGATGCCAGCCTGCTGGTGAAACCCACGAACAACCCACCGTGCTTTGTATCGCTCGAGGGAGCCATCTGACTTGAGTTTCTATTTATATATCCACTTACCAGAAATAACATTAGTAGACGGGGGGCGAGGCACAACATTCCAAGTATTGTTTTTAATTAAAGCAGTATATTCCTCAATCATGGCGTTTCGCCAGTTTTGGTCAAGAAGAGCTTGGCGATAGTTGGTGGGAATGGGAGAGGTAGATGATGCAACGAGTGAGAAAGGGACTTTGGGTTTGTGGATGCCCGCTTTACTGCGAGTCACCATAGGATGAGCAAGGGGAGGTGGGGGAGGTGGGGGAGTAGGAGAAGGGGTTGTGAGCTGGTTGTGGTCGACAGGTGGTGCTGCTGATGACATCCTACTCATTGTGTTATGGGACTATTGGACGGACTGTTGGAACAGTTGGAGGAACTGTTGCAACAGTTAGACGAAGTCTGAGGGAGGAGGAACAAGGATGGTGTGTTTTCGTCCAAGGCAGAAGGGGGAAGTGTGTTTTTGGGGGGAGTGGACTCAGCAAAAGGAAAGTTAGTTTCGTCGAAGATAACATGACGAGAAATTATGATTCGGCCAGTGGACCTATCAAGGCAACGATAGCCTTTGTGAGAGGAAGGGTGACCGAGATAGACACAAGGAGTAGAACGGGGGGCGAGTTTATGTGGTGTGGTGGCGGTGAGGTTGGGATAACAGAGACAGCCGAATACTCGAAGATGAGAGTATGTAGGTTTGATGAGGTAAAGGGCTTCGTGAGGAGTCCGGTTTTGTGTGGTTTTGGTAGGTAAGATATTGAGTAGGTGTGTGGCCATATGAAGGGCTTCGACCCAATAAGTAGGAGGAAGATGGGCTTGAAAGATGAGGGATCGAATCATGTTAGTCATAGTGCGGATCATCCGTTCTGCGTGTCCGTTTTGAGGGGAGGTGTGGGGACACGAAAAACGATTTAGGATGCCGTGTTTAGTGAAGTAGTTTTGAAAATCCGCATTTTTGAATTCACGACCATTATCACTTTGTAAGGCTTTCAGGGGATGTTGGAATTGAGTTTTGAGAAGTGTATGAAAATTGACAAAGGTTGTAAAAACTGTTAGAGTAGGTGACCAACAAGCCAACTTTTGGCTGTGGTCTTTCGTATTTATTATGGTAATAAACGAACCTTTATTCGTATTACTGATAAAACACCTTGGCATTCTATATCTTTGTCCCTTTGTCACAAGCATAGATATAGTCCTTACAGTTATTACAAGTACTAGTAATTGATCGTTAGGATCGTGAGATATTTACTTAAGTATTATAACTGTTAAACGTGTTCCTAGTCGAAGGGTTACGCCACCAATGAGGATATCGGCCTTTCCCATTAAGACTAGCACTTAGTGTATGTGTACTGCATCTCATCAGTAAACGGTATTGTGATATCGGCATGCATAAGTGGGTGCTCGTAAGTTGACGAGTTCACTGAACTCCCTCACCCTAGAAATCTCTAAGTGGTTCCCAATAATCGAGTAGAGATATCTATGGTATAGTTGTACACCATTAGTCCTTATGACCTAGACATCACCGTGACTTCACTAGAGGACCAGCTGTATCGTGACCTGTCTCTGAGTTCCACCGAGGACCATCCCAAGGGCCAGTGTTCGTGCAGTCCGAAATCTAGTGGGAGGTCTGTGCATTGTAGTCGGGGATTCGATCGCTAGAATAGTCTTGGATGTCCTCTGTGTTCTGAAAGTTTGTAATCATTCTAAGTCTCTGGCCAGAGCAGACTAAGTGATGATTAGAGAATTCGATTCTCTAAGTCATGCACGTAAGGATTACAACACTTAGAACGATCGCACCGTCATCGAACATATAAAGAGGTCTCGATGAACCAATGCCTCTAATTCGATCGGGACATATGAATCGAAGGGACCGTACTGTACGTTAACTATATCTGAAGGTTCTTGCAGGCACTTCATTTGTATCTAGGGAATCATGACGCGTAGTTGCTAGACGCCAATCTTGATTCGTTGGGTGATTAAGGTGAAACGAGTTTCATCTTAATCGTAACTCTAAGGGGACGAGTTTTGACCACAAAGGGTTGTGGGCCCACGGCTAGCTTACACCTGAACCATCGAGGGTCACACTGCTCGTGTACATGAGATCTTTGAATAAACGGTCAGAGATAAAATAGTTTATCTTTGCATGATTGGAAGTCAATATGATTGGATCCAACATTCGTAATTTGGAATTATGAATGAGAATAAGAAAAGGAAAAGAATAGGCGAACGTGTTAGTGAACTTTCTAAATCGGGAAGTTTCCAAATTTAGAAAGTGCACTGAACTAGGGTTTCCACTTTTGGAAAGTTGGAAAATGAGAGTTGACACTCGTAATGACGAGGATATTATAATGATTCCGAAAATGTAATTGTTGCAATTTTCCGATCATTGAATTGAGAGAGACGAGCGAGTAAAAGAACTAACGAGCTTAAGCTGTTGGGCCCGGTCCAACTTAAGTCCGTTAGGGTTTTATGCAAGACATATAAATACTTGATTTATAGGTCTTGCATACACACAAATAAGAGAACACACGTTCATAACCCTAGCCGCTGCCTCTCTCGATCAGCCACCCTCTCCCACGGCCACCACCACCGCGCCGTCGCCGGAAATTCGCCGGAATCGGCCACCCGTTGGCCGATCTCTTTCGGTATTCCTTTCCTTCTTTCTTTTCTTTCGTTGTTCTGACTATTACGTGTCTAGTGCCACGTGTTTAGTAGATCGAAGTATACGAGGTGAAATCCAAGAGGAGGAAGATTGAAGAATCGAAGATGCGAGAAGGCAATTCCGAAAAACTGCTCTCGGATTTTCTGCGCTGCCTAGTGAGAAAATTCGCCATAAATCAACCGGTCATCCGATGGACGTGAAATTTTGACAGCAGCTTCACGACTCATAAATCTACCATATTCCAGAAGGAATTGTTCATCCAGTAAATACGCATGGAGATACTGAAGTCGGAGCAAGGCTGTAATTTCAGATCAGCAAACAGGTTGGATCAATAGGAGTGGGAAGAGCAGCTAGCCATCTTCTCTGCGCGTGAATCACATGCGCCGCCGTAGCTCGGATCATTGCCGTTGCTGCCCCGGATTGCACGGATTGGTTTCCGTGGCAATCTAGCTTTGCTTAGTGCGCCTACCTCACGCTCCAAGAGGTAATGTTTCGAATCTATTGTGATTCGATTCGGTTACGTTTAAATTAATATATGCATGTTCGTTTTAATAAGAAACTTGTATGATTTTATGTGACTACGTGAAATTGGTTTTATTATTGCGAGCATGATTACTTGATTTAAACGCGAGCATGCTAATTGATTTAATTTCGATTAAGTAATTAAGCATGTTGTTGTTTTAATTTCGCTGGAAGCGCAAAGGTACGCAATTAATTGTTTTCAATTCGCTGGAAGCGCAAAGGTACGCAATTAATTGTTTTCAATTATCGGGCATGTACTATGTGCGTTTTAAACTCGTTTAATTCGCATAAATTTTTGTTTTCCGCTGCGTATGCGTGCCCGATTCCCAACAAAAACATCAGATTTATTTCGAAGGGGAAAAGTCCATATATAATGGGTAAAATCATCAACTAACACAAGATAATATTTGAAACCCGTAAAACTAGAAACAGGAGAAGTCCATAAATCAGCATGAATAATTTGAAATGGAGCAACAGTAGTAGATTTTTGAGAAAAAAATGGTAGACGAAAATGCTTGCCTAATTGACAGGCATTACAAAGAGACTCCCTAGGGTCTTTATTATGAGAAATAAAAGTGCTAGAAAATAAAAGAGACATGACGTGTTTGCCGGGATGGCCTAGACGCCGATGCCAAAGAGTGCGAGACGAAGGTGTTGAGACAGTGAGGAAACCAGCAGGAGGTGAGGTGGGGGGAGGGACGCTAAACGGATATAGGTCACCGGAGCTATTGCACCTGAAAATCTCGACTCGACTCCGAAGATCCTTCACAGAAAAACCAAATGGATCAAATTCAACCGAACATGAGTTATCACGGTTGAACTTTCTAACAGATATAAGGTGTTTGATGATATTGGGTGTGACATAGACATTTGTGAGGCGAAAAGGAGTGGTGGGAAGAATTGTGTGGCCTATGTGGGTTATGGGGAGGGTGGAACCATTACCGACGACGACATGTTTGGGGAATTTACTGCTAGGATTAAAAACAAAATTGAAATTACCTGAGTGTGGTGCCATATGAGAGGTCGCCCCGCTGTCCATGAACCACTGTGACTCGGTAGGCTGCTGAAGTGTCACCGTATTCAAACGGTTTGCGAGATCTGCCACGCTGGCACTGTTGCAGGAACTGTTGCAACTGTTGATGGAACTGCTGGAGCTGTGGCACGGTTGCTGCTGCGGATGAGCCTGAGTAGGAGCCGAGTGACCGGTGTAGGGTTCAGGTGGCCCAGTAAAGTAGGCTTGGGCCGCTGGGTGGCCCGATGTATTTTGAGCGGATCCCAGAATTGACTGTTGTCGGTAAGGTGCGCGCCAAAGTTGAGATGCGCCATGAGCACTATGATAGCCGTAGTGCTGCATGGGGTGACGGTTAGTGTTGCGACCTCCGCGACGGTTGGATCGGCCACCCCCGCGCTGATAGCGCGAAGAACTACCTCCGCGGGAACTGTTGCAGGAACTGTTGCAACTGTTGGATGGACAGTTCGCGTTGGAGGCGTAGAAAACAGCAGCGGTCTGCTCCGGTTCAGAAATTCTTGTTTCTTCCATCTGAAGGAGCGAACGAGTCTGTAGAAAGGTGGGGAGGGGATTTTGAAAGGAGATGAGATTGGCGACGGTCCCGTAATTTTTTGGAAGGCCGTGTAGGGTTTGTAGAACGAGTTGTTTGTCGGAGATTGGATTTCCGACATCGGCCAAGCTGTCCGCCATGGTCTTGATTATTTGACAGTAATCGTGAATGGAGAGAGCGCCTTTCTTGAGGGACTTGAATTTTTCTTCAAGTTGAATGGCTCGATAGTCTTTGTTATCGGTGAAGAGAGAAGAGATGGCGTTCCATAGATCACTGGCGTTGGAGGTTTTTGAGAGAACCATGCTGGATAGATCGTCGGAGATGGTGCCGTAGATCCAAGATTGGAGGAGATAGTCGGCTCGCTGCCATTCGTCGGTGGAAATCGAATCCGGTCGGGGTTTGCCATGGAGAAGATCGGAGAGGCAGAAACGACCGACGGTAATCGTGAAAAAGTGGCTCCACTTTTGATAATTAGGATTTTTTAGATCTAGAGTAACGGGGATAAGGGATTTGATATTAGAGATGGCATGAGCAAGGTGAAAAGGATTGAGAGGGGCGGTGGAGGGAGAAGAAGATGAAGATTCGCCGGCCATGGAGAAGAAGGGGTAGGGCACGGCTATGCAGAAAAAAAAGAGAAAAAAAAAAACGGCTAGGTTAACCTAGTGTCTGATACCATATAGGAGAAATATATTTGGAGAAAAGAGAGAATGATATCTCTTACGTATATTACTCATATATATAGTTACATGTAGGAAACCCTAACCTACTACACAAGGTAACCTAATATACAAGGAAACCTAATACACAAGGTAACCTAATAAATAAGAATAATAATAGGTATACGTAATATATATAATAAAGATACGTAATATATATAAAGATACGCTAATAGAAAGAAGTGGCAAGTGCAATACGAAAGAATAGGAACATAAACTCTTTCATGTAACATCAACTTCTTCCTTTCTTTTCCTAAAGGAATTATGTTACCTATTCCAATGCACTAAAAGAGTAGTATTACCTGAAGAGCTATTCAACACCTCAAAACCCGTTTGCTGTCAATTCCCCAAGTTAGACATTCATAATTTTTTTGCCTCCCTGCACGTGAAGAAACTATCAGGATAATCAAGTCGAAGAATAATGAGTTTGATCTTCAATCTCATAAGACATCATTACTAACTATTGCAATTACATATATAAGAATGTCATTATGCTGACCTCCGCTCAAGCAAATAGGAGGATTACTTGTCTCCTTGATCTTCAATATTGCAGTCACCTCCAACTTATCAAACACAAATAAATGGTAAAAACAGGCTTCACGCAACAGGAAAAATATGCATGAAAAAACAAATTAAAAAACTAGGCGAGGTAATTCCAATGATAGTAGAAAATTCAGTAAAAGCTCTGTAAAACAGGCCACATAAAGCGCCGAAAATAATGCTAACAAATGTCACGGCTGTTTAAGAACATTAAAACAGAGTTATCCGCATTTTTGTTTTGCCTGTTGTATGAGGGAAACCGTAGAATTCTTCTTCGCTAACAATATTGTCTTGAGTGAAGCGCAAGAGACGGATTTACAAAATAAAGCTGCAATTTTTTTAACACAAACAAAAGAACAAAATTTTGCAGAGCAGAGATATATTTTCGCATAATTCCAATGACCCACGAAAGATTTTTCGGAAAAGAACAAAATAACGCTAACAAACCAAACAAAATTTCGAGGAGCAGCGATATTTTTTTGGTAAAAGAATAGCATAAAATCAGGTCTATGCTTAAGAATTTTTCAGAAAAGAGCAAAGTATCTTTTCGCCAGAAATGCTCGCATAAATATTTTTTCATACTCGCAGAAATTCTTTTTCGGAAAGAAAGAAAATATATTTTTTCATACTATCACATATCCGTCAATTGATTTTTCTCGAAAAAGAACAGAATAACACAATCAATAGAGCAAAATTTAGAAGAACTTTAATTACATTGCATATACCGTCAAGAAAATTGGTTCCCAGATTTCATTGCGGTTCAATTATAAAGCATTGTACCATCTAATGGCTCCATTAGTCATCTCTTATTTTCATTTTCACTTACAGCAAGATGAACTATTGAAACTTTGACAGCAACATGCCTAATGGCTAAAGCAAAGATGCAAGTATATAGAGCAACAAAGAATTTCATGAGCAGCAGCTTGAATGCAAAACCAACCTCTCGACCAACCAAATTGTGTGGAATTTGTCAATTTACACGAATAAATCGTTACAGAAGATAAAATTTAGAAGTAGATCTACAAAAACTAAAACAATGTTGTGCACGACTACTACAAAGAATCAATCATATAAAACTACATCCATAATATACGAAAAGTAATGAAGAAGTCTCAAACAAATAATTACCAGAAGCAGAGATTGGTCTTTGACGACACAATCCATAATACGGATGGAGATGATTGTGGATTATGTTCCTATGTATTGACGCTATGCTGAGATGGAAGAAGAGCAATAAAGAGAATCCAAACCATTGTTTGACGGGTGGAAACAAAAAATGGAAAGAAGAGTTGTGGAAACGTCCAGAAACTAATAATGGTGGCCAAAAATTAAAGCATGTCTGAACAGATCCATTGATCTAACACAGCAAATTTGCGAAACTTACAACCATTAAACGTGCAAACTGAAAAATTAGACACAACCCGTTTGTACAAACAAATAAACATGAAAAAAAGAAAAACAAATAAGGTCTCACTTGGGTTGGTGGAAAGAAAACAGTGTGATGTAGTTGAAGAGAGGTGAGGTTGATATAGGCGTGGACAAAACCATAAACTGGTGACCCCAAATTTCTCTTTGAAAACCAAATCTCTTTTTGAAATTCCGCAACCAATTCAAAATCATCTTTAGTTCTATACTTTTCGTAGGCGGAAAAAAAATGAAAATAAGGGAGTGGAAAGTGCAGAGATCGATAATGACGGGAAATTAAGAGACCAGAGAATTAGAAAATTCAATTCCTTCTCCAAACATATCAAAAACCCCAAAAATAATCGAGCAGTGGATTCCACTTTTTGCCAACTAATGCTCCATCAGGTATCAGCAAAGCAATGAAGAAACACAATTATTGAATTTAATCGCTATGTTAGGAGAAATACTAACCATGAGTTTGCTTTTGAGTTGCAGAAAAAAGAGGTTTATGTGTCAGGGAAGTGGTGAATGTGGAGAGTGGAGGGAGAAGTTTCTATACGTGAGAAGTTTTGCAGTTAGAAAAAACGTGGGCAGTTTTCTATACGGGACGGAAAAAAGTAAATAAAAGAAAAAGAAAAAAGAAACAAAAAAGAAGAGAAATAATAAAATAAAAAAATCGGCTAAGAAATTGAAATTTCGAAAATATCCCTAGGTTTACGTTTAGGGTTTCGTGGCAAACCTTTCTTTTATATATAAAGATTAGTATTAGTATTAGTATAAATAATAGTATCATTATCATTATCGTTATTAGTATCAATATCAGTATTAGTATCGGTACCAGTATCTCCATCGTTATTGGTATTAGTTTCAATACCATTATCAGTATCAATAAAAGTATCAATGTCAGTATTAGTATCACTATCACAATCAATATCAATATCAGTACCAAAATAAATATCAGTATCAGTACAAGCATCAGTATCAATAGCAATATCAATATCAATATCAATATCAATATCAATATCAGCATCAGTATCAATATGAGTATTAGTATTTTTATTAGTAATATTATTAATATCAATATTAGTATAAATATTAGTATGAGTATCGATATGAGTATCAATATCAGTACCAATATCAGTATCAGTATCGATGTCAGTATCAGTATCGGTATCACTATCACTATCAGTAGTATTATTAGTATTAGTATCCGTATTAGAAATAATATTAGTATTAGTATTAGTATTAGTATTAGTATTAGTATTAGTATTAGTATTAGGAGTATTAATATTAATCTTAGTGTTAGTATTAGTATTAGTATGGTTATTAGTATTAGTCTTAGTGTTAGTATTAGTATCAGTACGGGTATTAGTATTAGTATTAGTTATTAGTAATTAGTATTAGTATTAGTATTAGTATTAGTATCAGTATTAATATTAGTATTAGTATTAGTAATATTATTAGTATTAGTATTAGTATTAGTATTATTATTAGTATTAGTATTAGTATTAGTATTAGTATTAGTATTAGTATTAGTATAATATTAGTATTAGTATTAGTGTTAGTATTAGTATTAATATTAATCTTAGTGTTAGTATTAGTATCAGTATGGTTATTAGTATTAGTCTTAGTGTTAGTATTAGTATCAGTACGGGTATTAATATTAGTATTAGTATTAGTATCAGTATTAATATTAGTATTAGTATTAGTAATATTATTAGTATTAGTATTAGTATTAGTATTAGTATTAGTATTGGTATTAGTATTAGTATTAGTATTAGTATTAGTATTATAGAATTAATATTAGTATTAATATTATTAATTAGTATTAGTATTAGTATCACTATTACTATTAGTATCAGTATTAACATTAGTATTGGTATTAGTATTAGTATTAATATTAATATTAATATTAATATTAGTATTAGTATTAATATTAGTATTAGTATTAGGGCTCGTTCGGTTACCTATATTGGATTAGATTGGATTACATGAGATTGGATTAATTCTCTACTGACTAATTAATTTTTTAGTTAGTAGCATGTTCGGTTTGTTAGATTAGATTTTCTATTAAATTTATTAAAATCAGTTATTATATATGAATTGTCTATAAAACCACTTAGTTTACAATAATAAAATATAATTTGAAGGATAAAATTGTATTTTTCCTTTTTAGTCACCCCCTATTAAATTAATCTCAGGGGGAGGGGTGCTATTAATTTAATGAAATAGTAGCATTTAATAGCGGGCTTTGAATTTAGTAGCGGGTTTGAAAAAATGTGAATCTTACCAACCGAACATGTTATTAGCCTTTACTATTTAGTCAGTAGAACCTTGTAGCGGTAACCGAACGAGCCCTTAGTATTAGTATTAGTATTAGTATTATTAGTCTCATTATTAGTATTAATATTTGTAGGATTACGATTAATAATAGTATTAGCATTTGTAGAATTACCATTAGTAATAGTATTAGTATTAATATTCGTATTAGTATCAGTATTAGTATTAATATTAATATCGATATTAGTATCAATATTAGTATTAGTATCGATATTAGTATCAATATTGGTATCAGTATTGGTATCAGCATTGATATCAATAATGGCGTATACATCTTAACTCTTTTGCAATATTTATAAGTTTGTACTCTTTTGTATTGCTATTGATAAACTTGCAGGTTATTTGAATATCTATTGTGTTACTTCTCTGCTACCGTATTTGTTATTAAGTTAGTTACTTTGCAGAAAATTGACATGGTATAGTAGATTGCATTCCACGAAATAGAGTTATACCATATGTTTTATTTGATTTCACTTAATCTTTATATCGTATTTTGTGCAATTCGTGTTTTTTTGTTTTATAATATTTAATTGAATTTCATATGTTACAACTCTTAATTAAGAGATAAAGTTTATGTTTTTTTTCCCTTCCATTTTGTTTTACTTGAATTCGTAATGTTATAAAGGCATAATCGTTTCCATAGTATTATATTTTTTTCTCATTTCAAAACTGACCCCGTGCAACGTACGGATAAAGTACTAATATTAATAGAACAGAACATGCGGTAAAATAGATAAAATAGTAATCTGATTGTACGTAACACTATTTTCCCACAATTAGTCGGCCCGACTATACTGGCCCGAATTCCGTTATTGGGTCTGCACTCTGCAGTAATTAGCCCTAGGCAGGCTTGTACCAACCAGAGAAAAATATACATTTCCTAGCTCCAACATTAATTAAGTCCATTAATTTTGTACCAACAAGTAAAATAAATTTGTCAGCTCCTACATTTAATTCATTAATAAAATAATAATAATAATAATAATAATAATAATAATAATAATAATAATAATAATAATAATAATAATAATAATAATAATAATAATATAAATTATTATTATTATTATTATTAAAGAAAAAAAAAATTAAAAAAAATATTATTTATGATTTGTATAAAAGCCTTCTATTATTTCTTTATGCCCAACCAAAACCCATCCACAAAAACGGAAATACGATGCTACACCCGGTGATTTTCACCGGGTAGCTCTTTTCTTGACATGTGTCATTTTTTATTTATTTTATAATTATATTTCTAAAACCCATTGGGCCATAACTGAACCCGTAATTAATTAGGGTGTCTGGTTATATTCACCAGGTGTAGCATAGAATTTCCCCACAAAAACTCAAGTACACACATATGATTGCCATGTGTGCATTAAATTGAGAGAATCACTACCAGCTTGTCTACTGTTTGGTAGGCAGGTTCTATCTTTCCATAATATTCTTGTGTATTAAAAAAAAAACAAAAAAAAGTAATACTATATCAATCATGGGATTCTCCCCACATACTTAAAAGGTATCCCTCGCATTTGCCACATGTCCCGTTAACAAACAAATCCGAGGTGGCAGCCGCCCTCTTCAGTTTGGGCCCACCCACACCGGCCCCACCAAGTTTAAGGTTGTGCCTATATTCAACTGCCACCTGCTCTAATACTTCAACCTCAAACATGTTCAGTTTCGGTTTCGGTTTCATTTTGTCCCTCACGTACGCAAAAGCTAGTTGATCTCTTGGATTGAATGCTTCCAATTCATTGAACATTAGGCAAGAGAATAGATTTGTCGCTAAACCGTGCTTCCTCAGTATTAGTGCACTGTCGGGCACATCTGCATATTTTTTTTCACAATAAAAAATTACCAACAAAAAAAAAAGGTCAGAATAGGAATTGAAGAACTAGTAACTATCCTCGTTTAAAGACATAAAAAAAAAAGAATAAATTCACTAATCAAGGAAGAAACATTTTCTTAAAAACTACTATTTGTGTAGTTGGTAGAAGTGATTATTAGGTTTCCAATACACACACTCATCATTAATCGAAAAGATTAGTGCTCTAATAACACGCAATTACGAAACAAAAACTAATTCGTTTGTACCTGTGGGATAAAGCTTATTTGAGTTCCATGGTTGTAAGCCATTCTCACAATAGGTCTCCATTTGAATCTTTAATCCATTAACATCCCACCATTTCTTCCACCTAGCTGTCGCCATCGCCTCTTCCATAGTGTGCACGAAAAACGGGTGTTTCGAAATAGAGATATCGACATTCTCGTTCACAACCAATGAATGGATCAAGAAAAGTGGATCGACCACTAACTGCAGCTTTGCATCGACCCATATACTGTATTTCGTGTTCGGAAAAAGACGGTGGACTAAGTATTTAGGTATCACTCCGTTCATCGCAGCGTTTTGGTATAGGTTTTCGACCGAGACCTTAACGATTCTCCACGCGCCGATTTTGTAACTGTTTGATTTTTTTGAAATGAGGTTTTGGTAGTGTAATCTGTTGAGAGTGGCGTCGTCTACAAACATGAAGAAACATACATGATCTAGGGTTTTGGAACCTAGGTGCCGAGGCTGCCGGATTTTGTCGTGGTCGTTGAATACTGCCGAGACCACAACCACTCCGTCGCACTTCTCCATCGAAATTCGATCTGAAAAAATAAAATAAAAAAATAATTTGAGATATATACGAAACACAAAGAGAAAAGAATTGTCTACGGTATAGAGAAACTGACCGAAAGTACTAATCGGAAAGTGTTTAAAGAATCCACATGGGATTTCGATTTCGCCATCACTATAATCAAAATAAGATAATCTTTTCTGAATATTAAAATTGCCACCGAAAGAATCGGTGTTTCCCTGCTTATACCTCAGAGCCGGCGGCAACCCTAACGATGTGGAATTCGCGAGTATATGTTGGATTTCATCAAAAACATCGAAATAATCTAAAAAAACAATAGAAAACCCATTGCGAAATAATAAATACAAAAATCCCAAAAAAAAAAAAAATTGGAAAAACGAATAAAGATTGGATTTTTATTTGAGTGTATGTTACCAGAGAAATAAAGAGGGGAATTGCATGAGGAGCGAGTGGTGGGGATGGAATGCTTGTGTTCGCCGTAAGAGGAAGGATAAGAGAAGAGCGGAGACTGAATAGGGTCGAACGGAGATGACCGGAAAATGCATCTGGTGGCGGAGAAAGTGAAATATGCGGCGGAGAAAAGGGCGGAGAGAAGGTAGAGGAGAGAGAAACAGAGGAGTTTTGATTGGCAGAGAAGTGGTTTAGAGAATGTAGCAACAGCCTTCCCCATTGTGTGTAACAAACCTTGGATTTGTTTTAATCTACAACCAATCATATGCAATTCTTTGTTTTTCGTGTTCTACTCCTATTTTGGGGGAGTGGAATAATATACTTAGTATTAAATCAATTTTGCACCTCTATACTTTGTAACCGTCGCATTTATCTTTACTAGAAAAGTGCACGTGCGTTGCACGTGTCTTATTAAATTTTCAATTCATTCTAAATTTTGTATTGTATGGAAATAATATTATATATCCAGAATGTGTAGATATGTTGTTCCATTGAATTTTGTGTCCGTATTAGAATCAAATTTTATTTAATATTAAACTAATATAGAAATTCATACTAATTTTCTATCTTACTAATAAGTTTTGTTCCATTTTTTGTGTTATTTTATTTTATTTTAGACAACATTGCTTTGCGCCTTTCTTTGCCATGATGTTCATTATTTCTCAATAGAAAAAGTACATTTTTGGTCCCTCGTGTTTATCATTGAAATACTTTTAGACCCACTTGCTAAAAGAACACTTTTGGTCCCTCCGTTTACCACATTATGACACATTTGGTCATCTCTTTTTGTAAGTTGTTAGTAGTTAATGGAATTTGACCATAAATTATAGGACAGAAAAAATATACTCTTGTCCCTCATATTCATAATTAAAATATATTTGGTCCCTCTTGTTCTAAAAAAAACACTTTCAGTCCATTGATGATTTTGGCTTAATTTGATGAAATGGGGCGCCCACGTGCCCAACATGTGTGGGGTTATGTTAGCTACTAATGCGTAATTGACCGAGTTGACCAACAACGTAGTAATATGGTAACTTAAGGGATTGAAATGTGTCTTTTGTGAATATGGGGACCAAATACGAAGTTGTGACTAATATAAGGGACAAAGTTGTACTTATCTCGTTTCTCATATTTAATATTTATAAAACGGGAAAAAATATAGTTTTCATCCTTCAAGTTTACACCGATTTCATATTTGGTCTCCCATGTCCCCAAAAAACAAAAAAAAAAAAAAAAACACATTTGATACCTCATGTCTCAGTAATGTACCACTGTTCGTCATTTCCGTCAATTTATCGTTAGTCCGATAGTTAAGGCAGTGATGGGCACATGCTAGATTCGGGTAATTATATCTGTATATTAGCAGAAAGGGCTAAAAGTGTGTCTTTTTACAAATATGAGGGACCAAATGTGTATGTGTCTATATGAGGGTACATATAGAGGCATCGGTGCATACATGTGGGTGTATATATATATATATATATATATATATATATATATATTTATATTAACAACATAGCTACTACAATCACAACTCCTACACCATAAAAATAGAAGCAAATGGAAAAACTACTCTGCATTCTTTGTTTCTATGTACTGCTTATTAATCAAGCACAAAACAAAGATCCATTTATAAAGACTGAACAAACTGTGGAAAAAATAAAATTCTTAGCAACTCAGAAAAGACCGACCGACAACCCGTATAGGAAAGAGGGTAACAGTTGAAATTTCAGACGACTCCCCATTGTGAAATTCAGTTAGGGAAAAATAAAATCGTAAAGTTATTAGCAACTCCAAAGAAATCCACATAAACCAGCCTCTAGTTGTGAACGATTGCACCCGTTATTTGCATGAAAACCCATGGAAGAAGTCAATAATATAGTTTATAGTATCTTAGAGTTAATAATGTTAATCAGTAGGATGTATATCTTCATCTTATTAGCACAGGAAATTCACATTTATTTATCTGCTTATTTATTTCCAAAACATAGAAGTATTATTATATGCCTAAAATTCAGAACAAATATACAGATTCATAGTACATGTGCAGAGTGGAAGTAAAGAAAATGAAAACAAATTATTATCAAGTAAAAGGGTGTCCTACATGTTATAATTATTATTGAGAGATAAAGAACAACTTGATAGGAAATAAATGTTAAAATTACAGAATTGTATAACCTCTCTGATTGAAACGTATGCAGTGGTTCGTCACTACGGTTTTTCAGGATACAAATAATTAGTAAATATAATAAAATTGAGTCTACGTTTGCCAACTTTATTCATGTAAGGTAAACCTCCGAATACAAAAAATCAGTAAATATAATAAAATTAATGAACTGAACCAAACATCCAATTAAGCCCTAAAACTATTATCCCTAGAACTGATCACAAAACAAATTCTTAAGAATATACCCTTAATTGGTTGTATTCTGCAGTATAGATGACATCTAGTTTCATAAATTCCTTGGTGAACATTTACCCTTTCAATGCCAAATTGACACTCACACAGATGTTCTGAGATGGAAGAAAGAAAAACAATGCTAGGTTAATTTGTTTGGAAAAATTCAATGAAATGCATTTATAAAGAAATACCTTGTCATTTCATCTCCATCCGACCAAAGTATTGGCACAAACATGAAGCCCCAATACCTTAAGAACGCAATTGAGCCAACATTTGCTTCATCTTCTTCTAGTGGAGCAACTTAAAGTTATTGTTAATAAGCATAGCAAACCTTTAGTCTTAGAATAGATGATACACTATTAGGTCTTCATCAAGCGTCATGTCTTCATTAAGCTCCGGCGCGGCGGCGGCGTTGACAGCACGGGTGCATTATGAGATGTGAAATTGTCATGGAGATCATGAATTAATCCATCGGCATACTCGTGAATTACCCAATTGGCGATTTTCATCGAAACAAAACCTTAAGTTTCTTGCCTAATGTGACTACAGAAAGGTCAATTTCACCATGTCAAATTTACCATAAAGCCAATAAGAAGTAAATGAAAAGCATATATATATATATATATATATATATATATATATATATATATAGGGGCGGAGCTATGTTGTCTTCTGGGTGGGCTGAAGCCCACCCTGGTTTATTTTCTTAATGCAATTTTTTAATGCTAATCATGTTTAGTTAATTCTTTCATATGCTATTTTAATACTAATCCAAATAATTAGCCCACCCAACAAATCTGCAATGTATTTTAGAGAGCTCCAATAATTATATTTTGGACAATATGCAATTTAATTTATATAATTTAATAAAAATATACAAATTTCTATCTATTTTCTCTAAATTTTTGAAAAAAAAACTCTTAAAAAATTTCGGGGGCTCTACCCCCGAACCCCCGTAAAACTTTAGCCCACCCTCACCGAAAATCCTGGCTCCGCCACTGTATATATATATATATATATATATATATATATATATATATATATATATATATATATTTTCATTCCTAAAACAGAGTAATTTGAAAGTATTATAATTAAAATTGAAACATAATAGCATATATTAAAGAACTATAATAATTAGAAAAAGGTTAAGACTGTACAATTCCTTTATAAATACAAAAAAAAAAGAAAAAAAAGATTAACCCGATCTGAGGTCTCATAATTGTGGGTATTAATTAACTGTAATAAACCCACCAAAAAAGTTGTGAAAGAAAAAGATCGAAAATGATAATGGATGAGGAATTAAAACAACAATATAACATGCAAAGTCGGAACAACTCTATTCTTCATAATTTTCAACCTTTCCATGTTTCTTAAGCCCCAAAATAACATATAGATTGCCTAACAAATCCCCCAGTTGTGACAATAATGCGACGCATAATCTGTAAACTAATAAATATATTAACAAAAAAATAACTACCCTTGAACAATTCGGATTTTGTGAAAAGGTTTCGAGAACCTAGAAATTCACAAATTAGCGAATTAAATAAAGTGAAAACTGAAGATCTTTGTCATTGTTTATGATATTGATTTGAATGAAAGAATTACCTGAAAATGCGAGCCGAGAGGGATTTTGAGATGAATTGCGAAATATTTTCGAAGAACAGGAAGATGTATGATCTGAATGCAGACGGTTGAATGGAGAAGTTGGGAGAAGTTATGAGAATGTGTGCAGAGGTATTTAGGACACGGATAAATTGTAAAAAAAATTACTGCATTTTATTTTTCTTTCTACTAAATAATTACAATAATTGCCATTAGGGTTTGAAACCTTAAAGAGAGCCACGTGGCAGCATATTAGGTCAAGGATTGTCTTTTTATATATACATAGATAGATAGATTCATGAGTACCATATGACGTTTGGGTGATGAGTTGAGAAATCAAAACCCTATCAATTTTTTTTGTCTTCTTGAACCGGTTAATTACTAAATAATCCAATTTAGTTGGCTTTGATTAAACACTAAGCACTAATTAATAATAATTAACATTAAAAGGTACATATATAGTGGGTAATTTTTTTGTGTTTAATAAATGAGTTAAAATAGATATAACTATTTAATTTTAATTCACTTTACTTTTTTACCCTTCAAATATTTCACATCAAAGGGGTATTTTTGTAAATACAAAAAAGGAAGAAACCATTAACTACATTCACACTTTTATAAGTATAAGTAATAAGTATAATTATAATATAATATAATATAAGTATAAATATAAATATATATAGATATAGATATAGAAGTATAGAGTATAGATATAGATTTTTCGGCCACCACAGGAAATAAAAGGAGAATGATTTGTTTAACTGGCTCATTTACTACTTCAGCACCTTCTAGACTGTTATAAATACAAGACCTGGTTGGAAAAGAAAACAACCAATTCTCTAGCATTATGTTTTACGTGATTTTGAGAATTCTTTTCTCAAAAAAATTTCTCTCCTTTTTTTCTTAACTTAAAATTTGATTTTGTTTTTAGAAATAAGGCCACTCTTCCAAAAAAAATTAAATTCGAGATATACAATAGATAATAGAAGGTCAAGGGAGCTTGAAAATAGATTAATTACTTGAATTTTTTTAATATATGTAGCATCCATCGTGTACGTACAATAAAATACAACAAATTAAATATGAAGTCCAATACAATGCAAAAATATATAAACTGAAATGATCTATGTAGCTGAAACTCCCCTCTCTCTCGAATCGCCGCCGTAGCTGAAACTCTCATCTCTCTCTCTCTCGAATCGCCGTCGTTACTAAAACTCCCCTCTCTCTCTCTCGAACCGCCGCCCTAGCTGAAACTCATCTCTCGCTCGAACTACTGCGGTAGCTGAAAAAATTGGTCAATCGACGGAAGAAGGCTTCTCTAATTCTCCTGATTCCATTCTTACTGTATGCCAATTCTTCGACCCCTTTTTTCAATTTTTAGTATAATTTTTGCTTCTAACAATTGCCTCTCTTTATTTATTTATTTATTTTAGATTGAAAGTATGTATTAATAATTTTCATGTCTGTTTTGTGCTTCTGCTATGCTGCCTTGGTTTTGAATTGATAATTTAGATTGCATGCACTAGCAAAAATTTCAAAGTGCAACCTTATGATTTTCGATAAGTTAATTATACATTACAAAATAGTTAAGTTAAGTATATATATATACTTGTATCATGCAGTGAATAAAGTTTTATATATATAATTGTATCATGCAGTTTTTAAATATGTGCAAAGCATGTAAAATTTGAAAATCTCTCTTCATATTCTTCAGGTAATAATCATTTTTTTTTAACATTCTCATTATATGAGAATGTAAAGAAATATAAGTATATGAGGTTGGTGCCTGTTTTAAGTTAATATCATTTAATTTGATATTTACCATTATATAAGGTCCCGTTTTGTTTCTCGTAACATGAGTTTTTAGCTATGCTGGACTTGGACTGTGTTTGTGTGTGACGATAACTAGGATTTTTAAGATGTAAAGTGGTCATTGTACGTGTAAGGGATCATTTAAAGAATATCTAAAAATGTTACTGTAACTTTATTAGCCAATTAGGTTGTTTATTTTCTTTTCTAAATTGTTTGTTGTTTTTTGTATCAGGTGGTTTACTTCTGTCCTGCAGACTAGCTTTCTTTTACAATATACTCTTCTGCACAATTCACAATTCACAATTCCGACAATTTGTGGCAGTTTAAAGGTATATTCAAAATTACATGTTTCTATTTCTTCTAAAGTATTTTTACTATACACTAAATCCTGCTGCAACTTTTGATATCCTCTAGACAACTATAAACATTGGTCTTAGAGTGACAACTCCACGTGAAAAAGAAACTATAAAACATTGGTCTTAACATATGCTCAATGTAAACGAAAATACTTAAATGAGTGTTTTGTCAGTGTTCTATACTTAGACTATCCATTCGATAATCTCGTTTTGTTTTTGTACAAAGGTCATGTCTCGTCTAATTAATAAAGAGTGGATGAACGAAAGTGATAGAGGAGGTCATGTTTATACAAAGGGGGTTGAAGATTTTCTTGAATTTGCTGATAGAACCAATGTTACTGAGTTGGCCACAATACCTTGCCCATGTGTAAAATGTCGAAATAGGATGCGTCATACTCCTATAAATGTTAGAAAACATCTCGTCAGAAATGGCATAGACAAATCATATACGTTATGGGCTTTGCACGGTGAAAAACCATTTGTGAATTCCTTTATTGATCCAATTGCTGAAGATGCTCACCAAGAAAACATTAGAGAAGAACAAATATTGGTTAGAGAGCTTGAGATGCGCAATTTGGTGGACAATATTCATGGGTTGCATGGGGAATATGAAGAAACCGGTGGTGTTGGCCAGGAAAAAGTTTCAGAAGAACAACATTTTAGTAGTGAAAAATATAATGAATACAAAAGATTATCATCTGAGAAATTATACTCTTCATGTGAAGGATCAGAGACAACACTTTCTGCGATTGTGGAGTTGCATAATCTTAAAAAGCAATTTGGTTGGTCAGGAAATAGTGTAACAACACTTTTGATCATTCTGAAAAGATGGCTTCCAAAAGACAACACCTTGCCAGATACATACCCACGTATGAAGAGTATGATGAAAGATTTAGGGATGAATGCAAACTTTATTCATGCATGTGTCAATAATTGTGTCCTATTCTGGAAAACAAATGAAGATAAGGAGCATTGCCTTCAATGTGGCGAACCTAGATATACTGTGAGATCCAAAAGGGGGGGTAGAGTCCGTAAAGAACCTTTAAAAGTTTTAAGACATTTCCCATTAATTCCAAGACTAATTAGACTTTACACTATACCATGGATAGCGCATGAGATGACGTGGCATGATAGATCAACCTCTTCATGGGAATACATGCGGCATCCATCTGATTCTCCCCAGTGGGGAATGTTTAAGAGTAAATGGGCAGAATTTTCTAATGAGCGACGGAATATTTTTCTTGGAATTGCAACTGATGGATTCAATCCCCGTGGCATCCAATCCTCAAGCTACAGTTGTTGGCCTGTGATCACAGTGCCTTATAATCTCCCTCCTTCATTGTGCATGAAGCGAGAATTCCAAATGTTGTCGTTACTAATTCCAGGACCAAAAGCACCAGGTCAAGACATTGATGTTTTCCTTCAACCACTAGTAGAAGAGTTGAAGCTGTTGTGGGAAAAAGGAGTGTTAGCTTTTGACAGTTATGAAAAGGAATCTTTCACCTTAAAAGTGATGCTAATGTGGGGAATTCATGATTTTCCTGCTTATGGAAATCTATCTGGGTGCATAACACATGGTTACAAAGCGTGTCCTATTTGTGGAGACGATACTCCATCCATCCACTTAGATTATAGTCGGAAGATAGTGTATACAAATCCTTATTATATATACCAAAATTACCCCCAATTCATTGAAACCCAATTCAATTTCAATTGCATGAGTTACACCCCAATTTAGCCCAATTTTATCAATTAACCAATTTTAACCCTAATTTTAATTTTGACCCCAATTTTGACCGGCCACCACCGAAGACCGCCGGTCGCCGGCGTTGACTTTTTTTTTTTTTTTTTGAAATTTATTTTTTCCCTGAATTTTTTTCTGGCCGGTCAACTGCCGTTGACCGCCGGGTCTCCGACGTTGATTTTTTTTTTTATAATCTTAGAAAAAAATATTTTAATTAATATTACTGTCTTGGCTGCTAAATTACTGTCTCCGGCAGTTATTTAACTGTCGGAGACGGTAATTTAACTGTTAATTGAACTTTTTTTTTTCCTTAAAAAATATTTTAATTAATATTATTGTATTCGTTGCTAAATTACTGTCTCCAGCAGTTATTTAACTGTCGGAGACAGTAATTTAACTGTTAATTGACTTTTTTATTCTTAAAAAAAATATTTTTAATTAATATTACTGTATTCGTTGCTAAATTACTGTCTCCAGCAGTTATTTAACTGTCGGAGACAGTAATTTAACTGTTAATTGACTTTTTTATTCTTAAAAAAAATATTTTTAATTAATATTACTGTATTCGTTGCTAAATTACTGTCTCCAACAGTTATTTAACTGTCTCTGATAGTAATTTAACTGTCTTAGACAATAATATTAATAATATTACTGCTCGGAAAAATAATATTCATAATATTACTGTCTGAGACAGTAATTTAGTAGCCAAGACAGTAATATTAATTAAAATATTTTTTTTCTAAGAAAAAAAATTCGAAAAAAAAAGTCAACGCCGGAGACCGGCGGTCAACGGTGGTTGACCGGCCGGGGAAAAAAATTTCAGGAAAAAAAAAAGTTTTCAAAAAAAAAAAAAAAAAAAAGTAAACTCTAGAGACCCCAACGCCGGAATCTGGCCGGAAAAAAAAAATTATCAGAAAAAAAATTTATTTTCTGAAAAAAAAAATATTTTGAGGGTTAATGTCATATATTTGTTTAAATTAGGGGTCGATGTGTAATATTAAGAAAGTTAGAGCATAATGGATGGAATTGATAAGAATTATATCATGGAGGGTATTTTAGACTAAAGACATGTGGATAGGTTTAATTGATAGAGTGTTTTTTTTTGTGGACCTATGTGCATTTAAGTCCCATGTGATGGGCCTTTTTGCCATTCGCCCTATTATGAAATTGATAGTTCACACAAGTACATGAAAGACCACAACCTCAATAGATAATTTTATTGTCGGTCACCTACTCTAACACTCTTTGCATTCTAGTTATAGATTCGACCACTTGATCTGTCATGGATGTCCTGTGTATTCTTTATGATATAATCGAACGAGTCTTTACCCAAAGTAGAAATGTGGGGTAATTCGAGAAAACAGTTTCTTTGAATCACACACAATTGGATTTTAGAGTGTACGGTCATCAAACAAATTAGATATTTCGGTGAATCAATGTCTCTAGTTCGACCGGGATATATGTAGTCGATGGGACCGTACTATACGTCAACTAGAATTTAAGGTTCTTCCAGGCACTTCACTTTTATCTATGGAATCATGATGTGTAGTTTATAGGGCCAATCATGATTCTTTGTGTTTTAATCGATAAGATACGCTTATTCGACATAAATCGTGTAATTACGAGTCACTTTAAATTGCGGGGAGAATAAGAAATAATTAATAGATCCAACAAAATTGACGGAGAAATGATGATGGAAGAGGTGAATTGATCGTGAAGCTATAAGATTAGAATTCGAAGATGAAGATGGAGAAACAAATTTGATGTAGAGAGATATTAGGGGGATAAATCTGGGATTATTATGAAGTAAAATTGATTATATGGGGTCATTAGCAATAAACCCCTCATATAGATAATAAATGGTGATATGTCCACCCCTTTAATCTTTCTTTGTGATAGCCCCCTAGAATTTGTATTCCCAATTGTACCCCTATGTCAATTAGGATAATTAGTCTCAAGGGGTCATTAGCAATAAACCCCTCATATAGATAATAAATGGTGATATGTCCAACCCTTAAATCTTTCTTTGTGATAACCCCCTAGAATTTGTATTTCCAATTCTACCCTTATGTCAATTAACATAATTAGTCTCAATTATTCCTTTTTTCACTCTTTCCATAACAATAATCTAATTCCTAAAAATCTACTTCCAAATTTCTAAAAATTTGCTACCAAATCAAAAAATAGGATTTTTTTTTTGTATTATTTTCGGATTTTATAGCCACTTTTTTATTATTTATTATTTTTTAATATTTTTTTAATAAAAAAATATATTTTTTTAATTTTTTTTAAACAAAAATTTGATTTTATTTTTCTCGACAGATTTACAACTCCGAATATGACTATAGTTGAATATGGCTATTATGTGACTACGCTGTGTATAATAGTGTAATTAACATATTGTAGAAGCATAATTATTAATATAACAGTAAGAATATGACTACTATGTGAATGTGACTGTGCTTTGTAAAACATTATAATTAACAGACAGTAGAAACATGAATATGACTATTATGTGACTACAGTTTGTATAACATACTGAACATGATAGTGGGAATATGACTATTATGTGACTAGCAACTGCGTAATGTGACTACAAGTAATCAGCACATGAAAAAACTTGCAATATTAACAACAAAATACATTGCAAAAAGAAAAAAAAGGACTATGAAAAAACGAAAATAACTAATGTGATCCTTCAACAATGGCCATCGAACATGTTTTTTTGTTGCGGTATCCAACTCGGTTGCACCGACTGCACTTAATCTTCCGTTTGATCTTCTCTGTTAAATATGACTACACAGTTGAACATATGCAGCACCACAAAAAAAAAAAAAAACAAATATAACTAAGTTGTTAAACATGACTACTCTGTCAAACGTGACTACTCTGTAAAATACATTGCACCACAACCGACTAATCTCGTAATTCAATAGATTTTCCAGATCTAAACATTCAGGATATGTAGAATAACACAAAAATTAATATAATCAAGAATAATTGAAAATCAATGTATTCGTTCATAACAAACAAATAATAGAACTAAAAATCCAGATCCATGACATATTCTATTGCTAGTTCGACAATTAATTCGAGAAAAATAAAAAATAAAATTTACCAATTAATATAGTATATATTGGTATTCCGCGTTGAGAGAAGGGAAATCTCCATATAGAAATCCGACGGAGGCAGCGACAAGGTGGGGGAGGCGCCGCCGCCAATTGTACCAGGCGTCGATGTGGTGGTGTTCGACGAGGGGGGAGACGATCTCCAACATCGGCGGAGAAGGGCCTCCTGCAACGGGTTTCGGCGGCGGCGTTTGAAGGGTAAGGGTGACTCCGGCGGCGGCGGTCTACAGATGTGAAGAAGAAGAAAAAAAAAAAAAAAAAAAAAAAAAAAAAACTGTAACAGAGAGAAATAGCGAGAGAATGAAAGAGAGAGAGGCGAGAACCGAGAGAATGAAATTGAGGGAGAAATAAAATTGTATTATATTAAAACCCTAACACATAAGGGCACTTTAGTCTTATCATGGCTGGTAAGGGGGGTCTCACTAATTTAGATTGGAATGTGGGTTATGGGAAAAGTCTTTAAAGTCAATTGGGTTTAGTTCAAAATATTTTCTAAATAAGGGGTGTATTGCATATTTCCCCTAGTCTCAATTATTCCTTTTTTCTCTCTTTCCATAACAATAATCTAATTCCTAAAAATCTCCTTCCAAATTCCTAAAAATTTCCTTCCAAATTCCTAAAAATTTGCTACCAAATCAAAAAAAATAGTTTTTTTATTTTTTTTATTTTTTATTATTTTCTGATTTTTTAGCCATTTTTCATTTATTTTTATTTTTTTATATTTTTTTTAAAAAAAAAATTACACAAAAAATTGAATTTTTTTTTCTTGACAGATTTACAACTCCGAATATGACTATAGTTAAACATGACTATATGTGACTATATAGACATATTCTTTCTTTATACATTTTTTTATATTTTCAACTTAAAAATTTCGATTATATAATGTGGTATAGTCATGTTTACCAAATTATATAAAACAAAGAAGATTCCCCTATTGTTTACGAAAACAATCCAATCAAAATTCACACAAAAAATACCAATTTTGAATGTAGTTATTCGAATATGACTACAGTCATATTCAACAATAGTCATATTCGAATATGACTTCAATCATATTCGAAAAATACATAAATATGACTATAGTCATATTCGAACATGACTATAGTCCTGTTATGAAAAAAAAATTCGAAAAATACATAAAGATAGAAAAATAACGAAAGAGAGTCATGGGGAGTCGACGACAACGGCGATGGTGGCGGTGGTGAAGTAAAGAGAGTGAGAGAGGCGGCGACGGTGGTGGTGGTGGAGGACACATCTGGAAAAAAAATAAAAAAAAAATGAGAAAGATAACGAAAAAGAGAGAAAGAGTCTTACGTGGAAACGAATGAGGAGGCGGCGGCAACGAGCGGCGACGGTAATGGTTGTGTACAAATTTATGTGGAGACGATGGTGGTGTACAGAGAGAGAAATTGAGAGAAACAACGAACACGTGAAATAATTAAATCACTAATCGAGTGAATCAACAATAGTCATATTCGAACCAGAGTAGTCACGTTGATGCTGCTGTTTTAGATTTGGAGAGAAAAAAAAAGATAAAAAATCGAAAAAACCTAGGGAGGCGACGACAGCGACGGTGAATGACAGAGAGAGTGGGGACGTGGCTACGGTGGCGGTGGTGGACAAATCTGGGAAAAAAAAAGAAAAAAAAAAGAAGAAAAAATTGAGAAATCGAGAGAAAAGGAAAAAAA